TTGGGACAGACTATAAAAGTCTACAGCCATGCTTGCAGCTCTATGAAGTCTTAACATCAGCATGCTAACCTGCTCACAATGAAAAGGTTTGGAAGGTATCATTTTTACCATGTTCAACTTAGTTTAGTTTAAGTTGCTAATTAGCATTAAATGCAAAGTACAGCTGAGGCTGATAGGAAAGTCATTAGTTTAGCAGGTATTGAGTCTTGAAAGTCAGCAGGATTCATCCTCTGGGTACCATGAATGTACACCATTTTCTGGCAATCCATTCAGTATTTGTTAAGATATTACCGACCGACCAGCATTTCCACGCCACTAGCATGGCTAAAACGTTGAGTCACTTTTATTGATCTAGAAATACATCTATACTTTTGTTAATATTATACTTAGTTATAATTACACTGATGGATTTGAAGACAGCAGTAATTCATTTCAATCATAGCTGACAAAACATAGTAAAAAAAGACCCCTGCTGGTGCACTGCTCAATATAACTATGAGTCATCTCCCTAATACAATAACCTCTAAAGTCACAATTCTTAGATGCACCGCAGACGGTTTTTGAATTCAGACTCAGTGACTCACTAAAGACCAGATGAAGACAAAAAGCAGCCATAACACTTCTACTGGCATCCAAACAGAGACACTGCCTGTCTCTAGAGTCCTTTCTGATGCGACAAATCCTACCTGCCTCTGTTGGAGAGAGCCAGACGCAGAGCATAATGTTTTGGAGTTATAGATTTGTGGTAGCAATACTCAACAAAAAAAAAAAGTCTAAAATTTTTGTTCCATAGATCTATTCTTAACCATGTTAGACCGCATGGGGCATCCAGGAAATGTCTTGTCAACCCCATAATCAAGGTGGGTGGCCGATATGAAACAGCAAGAGTAAACAATCAATATCATCAGTCTTCCTAGTAAAATATTAACCTTTAAATGCCACTGTCTATATACCAACAGGATTTAAGCTTATTGTGACTCATTTTTTTTTTTCTCTCTCTCTCATTTTTCTGCCATGTTGGTTAGAAAGGTGTTTCCACCTTGAAAGGTCTTGAATCCTCTTTAGAGTGACACTGCCCATGCAACTCAGAGTCAAGTGCGAGTTATAAAGGTTTTATAGAGAAAGGGATCAATAATAATCATTTATATGTTCTATATTTCTATGTTTTAATCTGTATTATGTCTGTGAATGTCCAAGTTCACCTCTATATAATGATCAATTATCGTGTGCAAGCATTGACTGAGGCCATTCTCCCTGAGGTCAGATCCATTGTCAGGGACGATGGCTCTCTGAACATTTTATAGTCGAATCGCTCGTCACAAATCATGTAGCAAAAATGCCCTTTCACAAATCCCATCAGTGCCAACATGGACATTGAGCTGTTGTCCTGTCATCAGAGCGCCCACACTGCTCTTTTTCAAAAAGTAGGTAAGTAAAATACAAACCACATGCTGAGACGATACTGCTAAAAAAAGAATGAAATATGAAGAACTCAGTGGGAACACAGCATCATACAAAACAAAATCAAAGGGACATGAGTGAATCATACAGCATTGCAAAGTGTTGTAGTTTTCAGTTTTAGCAAAAACCCATTAATAATGCCCTTTCATTTTTTTTTCATTGCCATGACAGTGCCCTACAGAACCTGTTGAATCTTTATTATATACTTATATGTAATGATACACTCCTTTTTGAGGGCCTTTCTACTCTTCCCAGTTCCCACAAGAGAGAAACATTTTATCTCTGTGAATGTGTGCTTTTACCTTCCATGACGTACACCAGTGAGCCCACATCGCCTTCTTTAATAATACAGCTGTCTTTTCCATATTCCACAGGGTACATGCAGTCCACGATCTCCTGGATCTGCGACAGTTCCAGGTTCTTCATGAAGTCATTGTCCAAGATGGCCTCCTTGATCAGATCCTTTGACCTGGTAGACAAGGTGAAACAAAATTAGATCATACCTGTACAAACACAAATTCATATGGCATTGGTGTTTCTTCATTGAAGAAGGACATGATGAGTGTCACACACATGTCTCAAGCGAAAGCCTCGGTGGAAATGAAAATATTCTGTACAATCCAGAGAAGTATGTTGACCAGTTCAACAGACGGGCATGTTGCTTCTTTCTTTTTTTCAACATCTGTTTATTGGTTTTGATCAGCAGTTACAAATACAGTGGAGGAGACACACAAACAACAAATGCACAGGAAAAAACAACATTGGTAGTAACACACAAGAGAAAAAGTTACACATAATTTACCACATAAGTCACAAGGTAATGACATATGTTAGACCATTAAACACTCACTCCAATTTCTCAATCAGACTAATGAGCGGTTGCCAGATTTTCGGATAGGGTCCCTCTCTGGTTGCCATAGTGAATCTGATTTTCTGTAGATATAACACATTTCCTATTTCCTTTAGCCACATATCAAATGTTGGGAGTTTCTCAGATTTCCAGAATTGGTATGGATAGAGATCTTCATAACTATACTTCGCTCTATCTCGCTCAATCAATCCATATTACATGGTTAAAGTGGCAGGGGGGAACTCCATATTAAAAACCATGTGGGAAAAAAATCAATGTAAGCAATGCAAATAAATGACCAGCAAAAGTTTGTAACTTATGACATTGTAAGAATGGGTGAGACAGAGTTCCTTGATTCCTCCTTGGGTGTAGTCTAGTGGGAGAGAAGTGCAATCTATGCACAGCTTTGAATTGTATCAAAGTATGCCTACTATTTATTGAACTCTTGTGAATACTTTCAAAACAGGTTTTCGACTCTGTAATTTGCAGTAATTTGTAATAATGAGTTTGATGATGGACTATATAAAAGTTGTAGAAAGTTGTAAAAATGAGATATAGCACCTTTAGTATATGCTTTATTAGAGCAGTGGGACATGAGCCCTTAAAAAGTGTTGCAAGTGATGAAAATGGAAGAAACGCAAAGTCAGGAGCTGGAATATCTGCTGCAGTCGCTGAAAAGAAGTGATAGAAATCTCTGAGAGAGATGATACACTTCTCCTTCTAAGCATATCACATTGTCCAGGTACATTTGAGGGGCTTTTAATATTGATAACACCTGAGACCAAACTTTAAAGGAGTTTTGGATTATGGGGTTATTCCCATATAAATATTTTTTTTAGCCTTGTTTGGACTGTTAAGTAGGGCTAAGATATGAAAACTTGCAAGACAGGTGCTCAATCTGTGGCCATGCAGGCATTTCTTGCTGGTTACTGGCAGGAGGGCAACCACAAAATCTATGTTTTTCTCCAATTGTTTCATTTTTCCCAATTATCCTTCAATAACTGGCCAATATGTCTTGTAGCGATACCCAAACTTGTGGTCTTCAGGAATATACCAGTTGTGACCCATCTTATTCTCTACCCTGTGAATGAGCCAAATTTGTTCAATAGATCTAGCAGGGGGCAATATAAGCTTTACCATCATTAATGTATAAAATCACATCATCGGCGTAGGCCGAGATCTTACCTGAAGTACCCCGATGTGTTATTAGATGTATTGCAGGATTCACTAAAGCGAAGATAAACAGCAAAATAAGATCGCTCTGGTGTGTACCTCTATAAAAGGATTTGAAATATCTTGTTTTGTAACAACAGAAGCTGTAGGCTTTTTATAAATGATCTTTATCCAATTAATGAATGAGTCACCTAAACCAAATTGAGCAAAGATAGACAGCATATAAGGCCTTCAGTTTTACAACTAAGTCTTCTATGCTACTGCAGGACTGTACATAATAATGAAAAGTCTTGCAAATTGATTGAGAATAAACCCAGTCTGATCTGGATGTATAATTTTAGCAATGATGCTGATTTATAAGGCAGTTACAGTCTCACTCAAACTACAAAGTAGCTTTTGAAAAAACATATCCTCCTTTCAAAGACGTCAAGGTGAAGCCTTTTTATCCCTTCCAAATGCTGGAACAAGTCAATAAATAGCATAATCCATGCCTAATGGAGGCAGATTGTTTCCACTCAGGGGTGCATTTCTGAAAGCCAGATCGGCCTTCAGACTGCAGTCATTAGGGCATTCCACAGGTAAGTTTTTGCAGTGACTATGCATGGAAGGGACCAAATGTAATTAACTGTAAAGCTAATGTGCAGTCGGCAAGGTGCAGCTCGATGTACAGGTAAAAGAGGACTTGGTCTGGCTGGCTAAAGAGAAAAGTGGGACAAATGGAATTAGACAACATTATGAAAGGGCAGACATTATGTCAAATTATCATTTAAATCAAGGCCTACACATGAGACGCTACTGATGTACCATCAACAGAGGACAGACATTTGTTCATAAAAGGTGTCCATGTTTTGACAACAGGTGAATGAAGGCCAGAGGCAGTGAGCGGTGAAACTGTCAAAGTAAGCGTCAGTCCGATCCTCTCGGACACAAAGACATGTGTCAAGAGATGGGAGAAAAATCTGACCAGATTCTGAACAGTGAGTCAAGATCAGTCATTCTTTGAAGCATGTCATCACCAGAGTCTGAGTTGCTCGGCTGAGTGCTGCATGGCTGGTTTTGACAGAGTGTCAGCTGGATGAATGAGGTTAATTATATGTATCAAGGTTAATCCAACAAGGAGTCCCCTCCTACTGGAAAGTGAAGCTTTTATACCATAATTCATAAGAAAGACAGCAAGCCCTCTCTATTCCCTGATAGTAGGCACCGGTGAACTGCCTCTTGCCTTTTTGTGCTTCGTGCCCTTTTCAGAAACTGATCACCTGAGGAGCTTATAGCTGAAAGAGCAAATAACCTGGCAGGTATTTATGAAGCAGCGCTCCCACCACATACAGGCTTACTGACAGCCTGCAGCAACGTCCAACACAAACCACACAACTACACAAACAAAGCTCCAAGCACTGCCATGATACAATATCAGTGGTGCCCAGAATTTCTTTTAGCGTTACATGCTGAGCGAATATGCTCTTGTAAGTGTTTTTAAGAACTTTTTAGGTCACATGAATGCTTTTCCATTAATCTTTCAGACACATTATCAAATCTCTGGAGAAACTGTTGCTCCTTTAGATGAAAAATTGCCCAAACTGTGAGAGGTACCCGCTGAAAAGCAGCTTTCACAGCTGCCGCATAAATATACATTTCAAATCTTCAGATTTGAAGTGCATAGTTTTTACACCATCAGCTGAATTAGTTCAGGTTTAGGTAAGTGGAATGATGAAAATATGAAATATCAATAACGTGGTTCCCCTAATGTGTGTTTTGCATTCAACGGTCTGATGAGTTTTCAATTAGGTTTTCAGGCCCTGTGTGTCCCCAAACAGCTCTGCTTTCACTCTCTGACAACAATGATACTCAAGGATAAAAGTTAGGAACAAAATTACTAAAAAGCAACATCAGCTAGCTGTCACAATCTATTGGAAAACACAGCTTAGTTACTTAAGTACAAACAAGTAGGTACGTATTGTCCTACTTCATTTCTCAGGGGTGTTTCTTACATTATATTTCTAAACTGATGTACTAATCTCAATAACAGTTCATAAAACATTGTATATTGCATTTTCTCCCTTGAAAGGCCATTTACTGTATAGGCCACTGCACAAAACTCAGATATTCAGTGTCTTCCAATGGCGGTGTCATTATCCTAGACTTTTCTGTCATTTGTGGATGTGCCTTTTTAATATATTTTAGGGGAATTCATTTTTGCTTGACAAAGTCTCAGGATATTCAATGATTTGAACCTACAATGGGACAGAGAAGTTGCTGCTCCAACAGAGGTACCAGGATGATGCAATGGTTCCTCATAAGATATTTTTTATTCTACCCTTGAGAGTCAGAACTATTTACTCCAGGGAATTGAAAAGAGGCGACTGAGGTGTTGCACCTATTTTTAAATTCCTACCCTATCCTATGTTCAGATGTGCACTGTGCTTCACAATCCTCTTTCCCTTTTTCTTTTTCTTTTTTTCAGGAGAGACTCAGCACCAGGAGGAAAAGATTATTTAACGTTGACAGCTCTCATTAGGTTTTAGGGTGTAAACATTAATAAAGTTGTGATGTGCTGTTTTTTGGACTTTGATGATGCGCGAGTTTGGGACGATTTAAAATCAGCTTAATTGTATTCAGAGCTAGCAGAACTCCATGTGTAATTAACTAAACTAACATTAACAAATTGGAAATCCATTTTTATCCCAAGTGGAAATCTGCCTCATTGACCCTGTTTCTGTTAAATTTCCACTCGGCAGATTTCTGGCCCTTTCAACCCTGATTGGGACCCCCCGACTTGAGCCTCTGATGGCAACATAACGTCCTCCAACCAGACCCTTATAATAACATCTGCCTGCCTCTCCTTTGTGAGGATGATATATTTGCCTTCATCCACTAGTGAAGTTTGGGGCTGAGCAAGTTCAGCCTTCCTTAAAAGGAGAAAATATGCTCTTTTAGGAGGAAAAAAGAAGAGGGGTGGCAGAAAAGTGGGAGAGGCTAACGGAAATAAGAGGCAGACAGAGGGAGAGGGATGGCTAGCGTGTGTGTAAAGAACGCTCTATGGGCCTTGTAAAGATGATAAAGTAGGTGGGAATGAAAGAAAAATATAAACATTTAGCCAAATCCAACAGGCATTATCGCTACACTTCAATAACCAAAACATTTAATGTAATGGAGTTGTTTTTATCCCATGAAGGTACTTTCATTTTTTATATAAAAAAATTAAACCTCTCTATACTACATTGAGCAATAACAAAAGTTAGAAAAGTCACGCACAAAAACAAATTAACTAGTATTCATGAATGAACTTTTGCAAGTTGCACAAGCATAGATGTCCAGATAAAGTGAATAATGATAATAAAGCTGAACTAATAAAAGAACACTGCCCAAAATGATCAAGTCATTTGCATTCAACAGTCTTTGAATCATAATTTTTTTATGTATAATATGCTTATTCGAAGAGAGACACAATTCTCATTCTTTGCCAGATGGAGAGTGTGAAAAGGTATGGCAGACAAATTGAAGCTGTTGTTGAGAGGCTTTGATGGAAGTTTAAACAACCGCTTGATAAAAAATAAGTTAGTTTTTAGCTCTATCATGTCATTTTCCCCTGTAAGCAGAAATCATGCAATCATTCAAAACCACTGTCATTTCTTCAAATCTCAAACTACCCTTTCCCCATTCTAACTCACAGATGATTGCACTAAAACTCTTTAACAGCTGAGATGTCACACTCTTCCCGAAATGTCAAAATGCAGGACAAATTGATATTTTGGAGATATTTTTTCCAATCAAGGTCTCGCTGAAAGCCTCTTTGAGAAATCTCTTAATGGAAACACACATGTAGATTAAAAGCTTTAGGATGAAGACGATTATCATAATAAAATGGTTACTCTATTGTGTTTTTCTCATCTGCCATTCCAAGCCATTGTTCTGGCTTTATTTATGACAGTCAGACAAAGAAAATGAAGAATCACACACAAGAAATGATTTCTATGTTTTTCCAACATGCAAAGCTGACAGGTATAACAAAGACTAATGGCTTTTTCTGCTCAGATGAATAACCCCCTTCATTTTTGAACCTTCTTTGATGAAATCCTTGGAGCTGAGTTTGCGTGTCGACTGAATAATGACATTCATATCTGACACGTGTGATCTCTCTGCACAGTCTGAGAATAGAAGCATTTCATATGGCACTGTTCCTTTTTAAAACTAGATCATTTACCCATAATTTTAACTCACCCGCACTGCATTCCAAAGCTGGATTTAGTTTTGAAAATGTAAAATAGTGTAGACATTCTTCCTGCCCACCAGGGGGGTAAGTGTATTGATTCATAATAACATAACCTTTAAGTTCAAACCCAACAGACAGCTGGATTATCTTACAACAGAGGGCTGTTATTTGGGTGCCAGTTTGAGAACCAGACCTCATGTTGGAGACCCAGTAGAGCTTGGAGAGAGAGGTGTGTTTGCATGAGTTTGAAAAGAAGAGAGAAATCATAAGGTAAACATGCACTGAGAGTCTGTTAAGACTGCCTGTCACAGAATCACAGCTTGTATAAAATAGGCACCGGTACATTACACAGAGCTGCCATCATCAGCTCTCTAAAACCTATAATTCCCTGTCACTGGATGACATTTCATTCCTGTCTCATGCAAGTCTATGATCAGGCTTATTGATATTCTGCCTTTTATCACTTAGCTGCTGATAATCGTATTGATAACTGTCACTGGTGACAGTTTCCTGATATCTTTTCTCTCATTTTCATAGTTGACGGCATCATATCACATTCCCATTATATCTAATGTGTGTTTGTGTGTGTGTCTGCGTGTGTGTGTGTGTGTGTGTGTGTGTGTGTCTGCGTGTGTGTCTGTTAGAGAACACCACAGCATCATCCAAATGTGCTACAGGTGCCGTACCTGCTGCGCCACACGTAACATTACGCACAGGAATCAGAAAGGTGGCAAAGGGTGAATGAACTCAAACTGGAGCGCAACGGGGGGTGCAAAATCAGAGATGAAAAAGTGAATATTAAGCGTTTATAATTCGGACACCTACTGTGGGCTTTTGGGGTAGAAAGGTAGGGTGACATGGCTAAGATCCTGGATGTCGAAGGCGGTGGGTTCGGCCGAAATCGCCTGCCTCTTTGTCCGCTGCTGCTCGTGCAGCTCACTCTGCTTGTGGACCTGCTGGGTTGCCGGTTTGATAACGGAGCGGTATTTGTCCAGCTCGTTCTGTAGTTTCTGTATGAGCTCGTCTTTCTGGTCGAGCTCCAGTTCCAGCTCGTCGATGAGCGCGTCCCTTTGACGCAGCTCCTCAATCTTCTCCTGAAGCGCGTACTGGAGGTCGCGCAAGGTGCCCATTTCAGTTGGTTGCGACAAGAGCGACTTCCCAATAAGTTTACCGAAAGGTTCGCAGCCGGGTCTGTATCCTCTCTCCTCTACCACGCTGCCCATAAACTTTATCCGGCATGAACGGCTTCAGGGGATGCAGCCCCTGTCTCTCCTGAGGGGGGATTCCTCCGCCGCTGTCCGTCACCAGCGGATGCTGGGAATTTAAGCGAAGGTATGTTCGGTGGTATTGCCAAGGTGAAAGCGTCTCAACCACAATCACGCAAAGTTTGCCCGATCTCTCCCTCTCCCTCTCTCTTTCTCTCTCTCTTTCTCTCTCTCGCTCGCTCCCTCCCTCGGCACTGTGACAGCGGAGGACCGTCCTCCCCGAGTGCGTCAGGCTGCGACCCGGAGAGAGCGCATGGCGAGAAGGGCGCCTACAGGAATCTGTGGCACAGTGCAGTCTGCCACTCCAGAGAGAGCCGCGCTCGTCTCACATGAATAATGGACTCGGTGAGAACCCCACTGCTCGGAGAACCATGTCATCATACCTCAGCAACTCTCCCCGAGGCTGCTGAGTTACAAATAGATGAACACCGGAGCCTTAATGAAAGTTGAAGGTGATGGAAACTTAACGGACCTGAATGTATAAAATAAACAACGCGTTTTTTCATCCACTATATAGGATGGCTCTGCTGCTTGTATTGTGTATTTTGTCTACATGGACCAAAGTGAAAATGTTTGAATCTATTAGAGTGGACTCGTGTATGGTAGGCATACAATGTATGTTAAAGATTAATTCCACTTTTCCCAAATCCCTGTCCAGCAACTATCCATTTGTGTGTCAGATTCCAAAGTGGAGCAAGTGGAGGTGCTGAAGGCAAAAAAAAAAAATTATAATCTTACAGACTGTCAAACAGCAGCTGCAGCAGACATGACAATGCCAAAGCTACTCAGGCTGCAGGGCTCTCCACAGCAGATCCACATTCCTCATCTAATCTTGTGTTGTGTGTGGATTGTGTCTGTCCACATTATCCCAATGAGTCATCTGAAGCTCAGCGAACAGCATTTGGCCTCCTGCTCTCTGGACAAATTCAGAGGAGGGATAAACTGCCAAGGACAATCTGATAGGATGAGGAGTTACTGAGGCTATAACAGCAATTACCGTGAGAGGATGGGGAGTCACTCACAGGCCAGACAAAAGGCGAGGTGAATGAGATTTCTTTGGCAGTAAGGATAGGTGTGTTTGGTGTGTGTGTGTGTGTGTGTGTGTGGCAAAGGGCATCTTTTTCCTGACAGAAAGCATGTAAACAACCCTGGATAGAGACAGGTGGTCTAATAACAGATCACAGCTGCCCTCTTGTGGTGGGTTAATGCATGGACTCATCAGACAACAAGGTGGCGTGCCTCTGCTCTTCAGGCAAGAAAACACTAAATGATCCTCCAATGTTGTATCATTGCATTACAGATGACCGAGCAATGTGCTCTGTGGGAATGAACAATCTGTTCCATCACTGTAAATGCTGACATGTACAGCAGACCTGTGTGCAATATGTGAAAACAAATGCAGACCAGCAGCTTAGCAAACGATGCTAAACATGTTTCAAGACATCACAAAAAGTATGAAGTTCAGCTTTCTGTGAGACTTGAAGAGACAAAGCAACTGTGAGGACTCCTGTTAAACAAACAGTGCAGTTAATTGTCTGGTTAAGCAATTCAAATAATAGCTTTAGCCTCTATGTATATAAAGATTTGTGTTCTTGGGTTCTTCTCTAAGTGCAAACACCCAAACTTCTAATGAAGCCCAGGCAGCCTTTCTCCTCTGAGCTAATTAAAGATTATATTTTCTTCTTTTATCTCTGTCAAGGGAAGGGCGCAGGGCACAAAGCTTGAGCAGCAGCAAACTTTCCTTTATATCAGGAAACTGCAGGTGCCCGGAGATTTCAGGCTCTCCCCCAGTCCAAGGCTGCATCCACACACATCCTCCCATCATCAAAAGGCCCTCCCACTGCCCTTCAAAGCACCTCTGCGCTTTAAATTTCACCTCTCCAACCATCCAGCTCAGCCCTTTTCCTATGCAGATCAATAGAAACAGGATCCGTTGCTCCATGCTGCGGTAATCCGATGAGCGGGGCTAGGCCGCCGGCTGGTGCCACGTCCTGACTCTAATGGGGGTCACACCGTCTCCGACCCAGCGGGCAAGGCGGCACAGGTGGAGGCCCTCCTCCAGACACCGGTGGCACCAAGAGAAATCACGTCATCTCACCGGTGCTTTTTTACAAAATGCAAACAGGTTCACTTCCTGTTCGCAGCACAGAGTGAATGGACACATGCAATTCATTTGTCCCCTTGATGGCCCATATAAGCACTTATTGTGCCTCATGAGCTGACGCATAATTTGACCATTTTCAGAATGAACCCTGGTCCTATAGAAAGGCTGACAATATGATTAGTACACTTGATTATTTTCTGACTTGAATATAGCTTGTTCGTCATTATTTCTCAATGAACCTGGGTCATTCATGTCCTCCATACCTCATTCTCAAGTACCTTTATGTCATTGTTTTGCCTCAGGACTCTGTGTTTGTTTAAAGACACACTGTGCATCAGTTAATGAGTGCAAATGACAACCTTCCCTGTCTGCAGTTTATTAATGCAAATGAAGACTGGAAATTGTCTAGCCATCTTAATAAAATGAACCCCATTGTCTATCACATTAATTGAGTCAGCAGAGTGAGTTCTGCTTGTGCGTGAGTGACATCAATATAACAAGAAAATCATCCAGATGATGGAAAATTTTTGCTGGGAGCAATTACAGCAGAATCAACCGGAATAGATTCAAACTAAGTGAAAACATGAGATACTAACTGATAACTATTCAGGTCCAGGCCTCATGTGAAACCCCTCAAAATCAGGACAAACATACAGTGACGCTAAAACGAGCAGCTAAAGGTGATGAAGGAAGCATATGGCCAAACAAAGCGTTTTCTAATGGAGTATTAAATATCCTCAGACATGCACTTCGGGTCCTCAGCGTCCAGCTACTAAAAGCCAATAATGCATCGCACTTCCTCCTGTCTGAGTCCTGTGGGAATGCCATGATGGATCTGATCAATTAGGAGCTCTTTCTGAAGCTCGTCTTGGAGCTGCGTCATCGGCCCCAAGAATGAGAGTGCTCGTCCATTCATGGCAAAACGTCTCCATCTCCCATTTAGAAAAATGAAAGAAAGAAAAGGTCGAAAACAGACGCTTTGTGGAAATAGTGAAGCTGAAGTGGTGCCACAAGAACCTGTGTGTGTGTGTGTGTGTGTGTGTGTTTGAGTGAGTGTGTGGAGCTACTAACAGCACTTTTTTTTTTCAATCACATATCTGTTGAGAGAGAGTTGTTGCTTCCTGATATCGATTCGCACCATTCATGGCAAACCTTTTTGGATTCTGTTAGTGGAAAGAGTCTGTTAGTAAAAAACATTCAAGATGTTTTAAAATGGGGGGGGGGCACACACACGACTTGACACATGGGCAACAAAGTACCAACCCCATGCTGAAAAGAGTCTTACCAGTCGGACTTGGCATATTTCCGAAACGCCTGCCTTGACAGGTCCTGGTGCGTCTGAGGCTCCGCGGAGATGCCCTGCGCCCTGCGGGTCCTCGGTCCAATAAGTTGAGCGCTGGGTAGGACAGACTGACATTTGTGCAATTTTCTCTTCAGTTCTTGGATCTCGTCTTCCCTGTCCGCCAGACGCCTCTCCAAGTCCCGTATCCTCTCCTCCTTTAGCAGCAGGATCTTGGCAAAGTCGTCCTCCAGGTCACTCATGTTGAAATCTGCGTTCAACTTTGCCGCGATTCTCTCCAGCGACGTGGACACACAGAGAGAGAGAGAGAGAAAAAAAAGAAAAAAAAGAAACGATGTTAAACTCCCAGCACTCGCGCAGGTTGTGAAAAACGGGAACAGAAAGACGCGCAGGGTGATGATGATGATGATGATGATGCTCCGTGAATCCCCCCTCGCTGCCCACTTGTTTATATCAGAAGAAAAAGAGCAAAGCTGGTGTTTTAAAGCCGGGCGGCGGACGGCTGATAGAGCGGCGCTACGCTACAGTCCACCGAGCCTCCGGGGAGCAGCTGATGATCCTTCATTGAGAAACCAATTACAGCAGCTCTTCCTCTCCGAGGACGCAGGCAGGCCGTCAGACTGGGCACTAAAAGAGCCGAGACAACTCCTGTAGTTCTCCGCCTCTCACACTGCAAACACACCACAGAGGAATCCCAATGCTGCTGCTGCTGCTGCTGCTGTCAAATATTTGTTTACCATCTATCTGCACAATCCCGAGCCCCCTATGAGCGCAATATTAAACACCCACATCACCTCCCAGACCTAACCTATTGCAAAAAAAAAAATCAATTGTCCCGCACTCGCTCCATAGGGCAGTGGACTGGGCTGTTTGCAATAGTCCAATTAGATATATGGAGTAAGCACACATCAGTGAGGCGGCAGTAATCTCCCTATAAGGCTAATGACCTCTGTGTGTTCTGGTGATTTGCTCCTCAGTTGCACTTCAGTGCTATTTATTTCTTTTATATGCATGTGTTTGGGATTGATCCAATCTTCTAGGAACTCAAAGGATGAAAAAAACAATTTAAAAACACAATTAAATTAAATTAAAAAAATTAATTTCTAATCTAAAACAATGTAATCTAGACTTTACTCAAATAGGAGTAGTTGATGATTCATAGCTTCAGAAGATTTTTTAGAAAGTGGCTATTATTGTATGAATCCAACATAAAGTAATTACACAACAGGTTCCGAGTGTGTTTATCTCACTGATCAGATTAATCAGTAATTACATACTTTGGAAACAACAGTGCTCATCCCTTTCTTGGTGTGCGGACTGAAGTCTAAGTCTAATATTAATCTCCAAACCCAGCCAGTCATTTCTATGCAGCATTTTTCATCCTACTGCCTAAATCTGTTTCAACTCAATGAATTCATTGAGGGGAAAAAAGGGAGCTCATGGGCGCTAGGGGGATGTTTCATTAAGATTCTGAGTTAAAAATAGAGTGAACAGATCTTCCCTTTGCTGGTGTAGTTCAACATATCTCACCCTTGTCTACTGCTTGCCTTCTTATTTTTCCCACCCCTTCTTTTTGGGTTTGAAATGGATGCTTGTTGCTGGAAAGCGTGGCTATACAGGTGTAATTGCACATTATTTGACATTTTCTTTGCCCCTTAAACCTGCAACTTTTCCAAAATGCTCTCTCACATGGCCTGATAGTTGCGCTTATCAGGTGTAGACCGCAGCGGCTCTCATCATGACGCCCACATACGACCCGCTTCTTTACTGTTGTGTCTCTCTCTGTGAGT